AGCAAGTAATCTGGAAACGTCAAGCCCACACCTGAGCCTTATTCGTACCCCCAATTCCAAACGCCCACTCCTTTCGCAGGGAACTAGCTGAAGGAGTGGAAGGTTGCATACAGCATGTAAAACTTCCCAAGACTAGCAGACGCTGTCATTTACAGCGTTTTGAAGCATTCCAAGACCAGCAGAAACTGTATTTCACAGCGTTTGAAGCGTAGCAAGTGTTGTAATTTGCAATATTTTTTAGGTTCCAAAACCAGCAAAGGCTGAAAATTACAGATTGTGAAGCATTCCAAGACCAGCAGATACTGCAATGGCTGTGATTTACAACTTTTGAGGCATTCCAAGAATGGCATATGCTGTAAATTACAGCATGCCAAGCTCTCCAAGACCAGCAGAAGTGTTCCGAGACCAGCAAATGCGATTTACAACATTTGAAGCGTTCCAAAACCAGCAAATGCTGTAACTTGCAACCTTTGAGGTGTTCCAAGACCAGCAAACGCTGTAATTTACAGCGTTTGAAGCGTTCCAAGACCAGCAAACGCAATATTTCACAGCGTTTGACCCGTTCCAAGACCAGCGAAAGCTGTAATTTACAGCATTTGAAGCGTTCGAAGACCAAAAAGGAGCGAGCCACACCTTTGCAAAAAATCCCTCCACCCTCTGCGAAACTATTTTCAACATTCTTCAACCACTCGCTGCAGGGACACGCTTTCTCGTGTTAGTGCTGGGGTGCAAAAGCGTCGCTTGCACAAACTTCTCGAACAATTGGGTCTTCCTGCTCCTTTTCGGTGGTAGAGTGTTCGCCGAGGGGAGGGGTTGTACACGCGCATTTCGTCAATCCAGCAACATGGCTGTGATTTGCTTCCGTTTCCGATGGAATTCACAGAAAACAGCCAAGATTTACATCTGTGAGCGAGTGAACTTTCAGTGCCAACTTCCCAGAGACGTTGGGCCTTTGCCCTGAAAGCTCGCCCGTCTTTTAGCCCTCCTTGCCATCCTGCCTTCCCGTCTTGAGTCGGCTAGGTCAAGCGTTGCTTTCAACCGGGTAAGGCGGTTCCTGTGCACCGGTCAGTCACGAACATTTGCTCTTTCCTCGTCTGTTGGACATTGACCCTACGGGGGGGGGGCACTGGCCGGGATGGACCCAGGGATATCCGATGGTCCTGGTGCCGCTGACTGGCAAAATTTCCCAGGGTCTGGTGGCATGCCATTGGGATTCCCGTGAGGTTTTGCGCTTTTGGTGATGTTGGGGGTTATGTTTACCTATGTTGTTTCACTTGTTACTGAACAAACTCGCTTCCAGCGCAGCTGCGTGCTAAAGACCTTCTCGAGTGTCTAATGTAGGAACAAAAGAAAAGCCTACAAATCTCAACCATAAGGCTGAAAATCGCTTGACCTCAACAGAATGTGGGAGAAGGAGGGTGGTCTCAGGTAGCCCAACGGATGTGGTCGCAGGTAAGTCCCAGGTTGTGTACGGTTTTGCTTGTGCCTGTCCCTACTGCAGTGGCATAAGGACAGCGCGCAGCCTTCCAGGAGTGGGAATTGCTAGCTCCACTTTGTGCCTGGTCCCACTGCACTTGCATGTCAACAATGCATTTCTTTCAAGAACGTTCTCAACCTACTCAACAGCCTGAAATTGTTTTCGCTTTCACGCAACGCTGTGCTTGGACCCGTATGGAAAAGTGCTGAGAGTCATCTGCTGACATCGTGCAGGAGTGCACGCAGATCTCCAGGCAGGTGCAACGACATAAGAGCACGCTTTGTATGACGCCAACGGAAGCACGTCAGCCCAGTCAGTTTCAACTCGCGTTTGAACCACCAATGCCGGCAGAAGCATCATGCTTCAGCCTGCACACTTTATCGCAGGCATTCACTGACTAATGTCTTGCTCCAGGCGATCAGGGTCCAGTGCCGCTCTTAAGTTGCAAAATGCCAAGTCTTGACAGAAATGAACGGCCTTGCGGATGATCAAGGTGCGCACTCATGTGGGTAGTCGTTTGAGGGTTTCGAGTCATTGTGCTTTTCGTAGCTGACCCTCAATCCCAACAACGTGACACGCGACATGCTGAGGGCAGCCCCAGCTGCCAAGTTGACCGCTCTTTGAGGCCGGTCCATCCATGTCTCCACAGCCCGCGATTCCACCGCGATCAGTCTCAGGTGGGCTTGAGATCTACAGCAATTCAAGGGACAATTTGCTGATTCAATCAGTGTGGGCAAGGTCAACTATCAAATGTCTGAACAACTCGTTCGGTGAATTTGCATCAGCTCCATGAGTGACTTTTCTGTTACAGATACAGATGAGTCAACAATCGCACCCAGTGAGATTGATGGCCTGGACCTTACGACGAGTACTGCTTGTGGAAAGAAAGCCTTGCATTGCCTGGTACGTCTTTCGCCTTCAAATACCACTTGCTCCAGCTGCAACTCCTTGACCTTCAGCCCTCTCTTTCTTGGTGGTTCTTGCCATGGTGCAACACTGTTGATACGCGCACTTAGCATCAATTTTTCCGCAAAGCATCTCCATAGCCAACGCAGCCCGCTTACCTTTCTGAATTCTGAATTTTTAACATCACAACTCTTGCTCTCCTTGCCAGTCCTGAGCTGTGGCTTGTCCTTGCGTCATTTTAATTTTGTTGGAACAAATGTGGCCTCAGGCCGCGAGTTAGAAGATCGACAGGAAGATCAATGGGACCGCAGATGCCAGCTGCAACATATGCTGTGCTGACTGAGATAATCCACTTGCTGGCTACGTACCCATGTCAGAGACGCACGGCCGTTGTGGGTCACTGCTGCCCATTAAGCCCAGTCACAACATGGTCTCCATGTATTCTTGCGCGTTCTGATGCTTTCCTGAGTTGTTCCTGCAGGAATTCGGCGTGGAGGACACCCGATCCTTGTTCCCGCACCTCTAACCTGTCTTGCCAGATGCAGCCTTTGCTTCTCTTTAGGTTTGGTAGCACATGGTGTGAATCAAAATTCTGCTAAGGCTAAGAGAAAACAGTAAGAAAACAGGATCCGGAAGACATACTCACGAAAGCTAGCTTGCTGGCTTGAGTCGTCTGTTGCGCTAGCCAGCAGTAGGCTAGCAGTGGGGAAAGACAAGATTTGGAAAGCAGCGAGCTGTTGAGTGCATCACAGGATGGCGGGGGAGGGGAGGACGGGGAAGTCAATATTGATTCTTTCACAGGAACAGGAACTGAGGTTTTGGAAGAGCAACATCATGGTCGGAATACATCCAACCTGCCCAGTCTGTAGTGTTCTGTACCATTGATGAGCAATTTGACGAGTATCATCATCAAGTCCCTTTGTTAGGGCCCGTACCTTTGCATGGGCATGGTACAAAGATCATCATGCTTTGCTAGTTGTTGCATCAATTCTCCCAAAACTCTTTCTGTAGTCCTACTATATCCCAATATGAAGCCCCAATATACTACATAGTAGTTTCCATTTTCGTTTCCATTATCCCCTATATACTATAGTGGTTTCCATGTTCACTGGGGCTGCATTCCCTCCACACTCTGCACGTTCACTACCTTGCATGGTCTTGCTTCATGGTTGAATGGGACCTCCGTGCTGCTGTAGCGCGCACTACCGTAGCCATGCCTTGCCATGGTAATTACGAATGACTTTAAGCTTGGTGGTTGCAGTAAACTTCCCTACTTCAGTAGCGTTTACCCCTGCCTAGTCATGGTACCAGACACATCATGCCTGGTGGTTGCATGTGGCCTCAGCCCTCTTTCTTTTGTCTTCACTTACCCTGCGTGGTACTGGTACGAGTAATGTCATGCTGGATGGTTGGTTCACTCCTCCCTGCTCCACCTTCGTTTCCACTACCCTTTCCGCCTGTGGTACGAGAAACATCATACTGGCTATTTGCATCACACTTGCCTGCAAATGCATGCGCGCAGCATCTGTAACATAAGGATAGTGGTTGCTAGAACCCCCCGACTGGTACTCTTAGTAGGTCCTGGTCGCATCAAACCTCCGTGCTCCCTGTTCTGCCTTCGCTACCTTTGCAAGGTCATGGTACAGGTAACATCACGCCGGCTGGCTTTATGATTGCATCAAACCTCCCTACTCCCTCTGCAGCGTCATGGTCATGGTTGCATCAAGCCTGCCTTCTCCATCCGTGGTGTCAACTACCCTTGCGTGTCAGTGTGCATACGTCATCGTGCTCCTGGGTCGCCTTAACCTTCCCGCCTCCCGTCGTACTCAATTGATTCAAAGTGCTGAAGACCTGGCTAGCTTTTGGTGCCTCGGCTTGTTCTTCAAGTGAAGGGATGGAGAAGGGGTTGCTGCATGTCACCAAGTGCAGGAGGTGCAGGCGAAGGACAGGGTGCGTGAGGCCACTGGTTGGGATGAGCAGTCACGGGCAGCTCTGAATGTTTGCCATCGGACGGGGGATCTCGTGCTCGTTGTTCGAGGTGTCCGAGGCTGTGCAAGTAGAGGAGGCAGGGCGGCAGCGGCAGGGTCGAGCCAAGTTTCCTCCCAACCTGCTGTTTTCAGCTTGCAAGTTGGGAATGATAGGAGAGTCCGACAGCTGGCTGCAACGAGTGCAGCCAACCTGAACGATAGATGCATGCTGAAGCCTTGTCTTGCTCATCTTTGAGAGCCCGTATGGCTTTAGTTCAGGTTAGGACAAGTGATCAAGCAAAGATGCTCATGGCTCGCAGCTTGTGAGAGATGTTCCAGATGGGTGCCCGTTGCTTCAGAGGGCTCAGATCTCAGTCCCTCACGTATATATCTAGAAGCACAGTTGTTTCTTGATATTTATCCACTGACGCCCTAGCAGCAGAGCAGTGCTCATGCAGCCATGTCCTGAGACGGTGGCATCTCAACAGCAGTGTGTCGCCCAGCTGTCCGCACAAATTGCTCGGAAAAGTTTCAATTGCTGCCGCATGTCCCACCCGCAAAGCATACAAGGAACCGGTTGATGCTGCTGATTCTCTGCAGACCGAGGCATGTTCTGCTACCCGCTAAACGGCTCGCCTGCTGCACCGGCTATGGATCACTTCGAGGAAGGGCTGCAGCTTTTCCTAGCTCGACATCAGACGCCATTGGAAAAGCTGGAGGTGACAGAATTCAGGCTGGGCCTTTTCAAATACTTCCCGCCAAGAGAACATGAAGAAAATCGTGGTGCAAAGGAGCCAAAGGAGTGCTCAACTTGAGAAAGCTGAAGAAAACATAGATTACCCAGACCTCCAACATGGCTCTGCGCATTGCATCCCCGACAAACAGTCATGATCTCACCCATGAGGGCGCATGGGGCTTCAGGGCATGTTTTCAGTTCCGAGACATTTGCGGGTCTGTGTGATCAGCCATTGAATGACTGTCTCAGAAATTCGTGTCGTTTGCACTGTTGGTCGGCCAAGCATTTGTAAAGTAGGCAAGGTGAAGAAAAGCGGAAGCGAGCCATGCGTGTTGTTGTAGTGTATCGCTCCTGGCTCACAGAACTTCCATCAGATCCCTGCACCTTGAAACAGTAAAGTCATTAAGCCTCAAAGCGCCTGAAGGCCTACTCTTCCGCTCACACCCCTTTCGCTCCAAACCTCAAGGCTGTGGACCCCAAAGCTTACTTACACGAACATGCAAACCCTTGTCGACTCTTCTTCCTCCTTGTTTGTTGGGAGCCTCGTGCTGCGCTCCCCCGCCGGCCGCCCGCAAGCTAGCGTGCAAGCCAAACTGCATGGTTACTTCAGATTGGTCAGAACGCAGAAGACGAGGGATGCACAATGTGCATGCGTACAGGAACATCAAAGCCAAAGACATGCATCATTCAAACATGTGAGGCGCCAGGCCATCTGACTCTCCAGAGAACAGCTTGTGGTAGATCATTGCGTTGGAACTGTAGAAAGTGAATGTGATGACAGCTTCTTGAAATTGTGTTGGTGCACTACTTTCATTCTGACACTCCATAGCATGATCGCGATGTTGAAAGTTTCATGCTTGCACTTATGCTAGTCTAGTCCGTAGCATAGTACCACTCGCACTGCAGACAATCTGGACAAAACTCATTTAGAATGAAGCAAGAAGCTTGAATCTGGCTTGAATCTGCAACTGACGAAAACAGTAACATTGGCAGTGCCGGCAATTCGTGCGCCACCGCTGTTGGCAGCTGCCACATAGATGGTACTAGTGCAATGCTCATTTCAGAGGTAGCACTGAGAATCACAACTGGCTTCAGAATGCAGTTATGGTAGCAACAACAGGTACACATGCGGTAAGATGCGGCCTGAATGTGCACAGCAGCAGCACCAGCATCATCAGTACCAGCGTTGTTGGGACATTGCTCAGAGGGTTGCAGGCGTGAATCCTGTCGTCGTAGTCGTTGTGGAAGTTGCCGTGGAGAGTGGAAGTAGACTTGAAAGTAGAAGATTGTCCAAGGAGTAGAAGTATTGGTGGTCGAAGCAGTGGTCGTTGAAGTTGTCGTCGTGCCGGAGGTTGTCGTGTGGTTGCCCGGAGGAGCGGAGAGGTCCCGTTGGGAGTGAGGTGGTGGTGGCTGCTGAGATGGTGGCGCTCGTCTTTTCAGGTTACGCTGTCAAATGTGAGCACTCGCCCTGTCTGAGTTGGGGATTGCATGTCGATTGAGGCAAAGTTGCTTTACGAGCAGCAGGACCTTGTACATATGTGACAGTTGTCTTGGTGGACCTTGCGCTTCTTCATCGACCGTTCGTGACAGCGAGCATCCATCGGTGTCTGGCGCAAATCCCTGCCAAAGCTGTCAGTTCTGCCGCTCCGCTCATTCGTATGTTTTGTATTTGGATGCCTCTGGAGCTATCAAACAGGGCTTGGCTGACGATGGCGGCTGGAGAGCCTGGACTGTTGGCGAGCCGTTTGCTTCCCATGATGTTCAGAATCTATTCAGGCAAGTGCAGGAGGGCCATTATGAGATTGTGGTGGCTGATGCGAGTCAGAGAACTTCTCTCGCGCATATGCAGCCCGAGCGCCTTGCTCAAGGGCTATCTTTGGCGCAAGAGATTGGCCGTGGCATTGCAGAACGTGGAGTACTCGGCCTACAAACCTCATACACAATCAAGCACCTAGCCGGCACATAAGGTACCATGAGTCGCTGGCAGGGTTTGGACCGTTTCCTGCCAGGCATGGTGCGCTAGCAGGAGCGCCGTGCTCGCATGTTCACATGGCCGTTACAAGGCGACGCTGCCTTCCGTGCCTTGACTTGGAAATGTGAGAGAGTTCACACGGATCCGGATTCGCCTTCAGTAAGGTTTGACCAAAGCCGCGCTCTCAGACTTTCTTAAGCTAGCAGCTAGCTCTGAAACTGCTATGAATATGTTGTGACTTCAGAAGGAGCATCAGACCTGTCTGCTTGCGAGGACTGAGAGCCTCCCGTCTCTTCTATCGAAGTTACAGGCGTTGCTCCGTGTGCCACTGCCACATTGCAGCACCCTTCAGCCAGAAGCTGAGACATCATTGGCATGAGTGGCAGGCATCGCCACATGGTTGTGCATGTGGCCGGCGATGTAGTCGAATTTTGTTTTATATGTCTGAGATGATGAGCATTCGGCAAAGCGCTTGCTCTACGAAACAGGCTCCTGGCCTTGCACAGACTTCAGATGCACGTTCACAGCAGACAGGGTTGTAACACGCTGTAGCTTGAACTTAGCTTAGCAACGTGCACAGTTATGGCTTGCAACTAGCTCGAGGTCATATGCCATCCAACAGCCGCATCACCATGATATGCTGTTACATGACATGCTTGCAATGGCTCGTTTGAGTTTTGATTGCGGTTGGTGTAGGTGATTTCGTGGCGATTGTACCATATGCGTCGACGCCATATCGAGTGCCGAGCTCGGGAAGTGCAGTCTTTGAAATTGGTGATCAGTATGCGGTATACTTCGAGTTAGCCCGCTGCATTTTTTCCTGCGCCCTGCTGGTTGCCGTGGCAAGTCAGCAGATGCTGCCGATTGAAACGCCCAGGTGTCCATTGCTCCTAAGCGTCACGCAGCTTGTTGGTTGGAAATGGGGCCGGCAGAAATGCGGCAATTGGCTTTCTTGCTCCAGCTGGTTGTCGAGGCCCCTTCCTCGGCGGTTTCAGGTTTGCAACTTCTATTCTTTAAGGCAAGTTGCTGTGAGGATCCAGCGTTGCTTTACCACGTTTGATTTGAGGCAATGAGCTATCTTCTGGCTGACCCGCAAAAGCCTCAGTGACCGACTCATGAGCTGAAGGATGTTTGCCAGCGTTGCGGTCCCGTCGGTGAGAGTTTATGTGGGATCCCGCCATATTGAAGGGGTTCCATTCACTCCTGCAAAGCATATCCGCCAGAATTTCTTTGGAAGGTCCTACACGGTCTTCATTCTCTCGGTGGACTCTCAGTCTGAGCTGGAGAAGGACTATACTTATTCTCCGAGCACTGTTTTCTCATCTTGTGGTTCCATGCCGGCTACGTACAGAGGAGAACACGGCTTCCGCGTTCCACTGGTCGATGGAGATTCAAGTCCAGGGCTGAGCTGGTTGCAGCATGCGGCAGTCATTTGTCTGCCAGATCGAGGCAAGGCTTCCTGTGGACTTCGGTCTGCAGCTGCCGTCAGGTTTACGCATTGCGTCGCGGCTACCTGAGGAGTGGAAGAGTTGGAGAGCTTCACAGGCTTCACATTGGGTCTCATCCTCCATTGGCTTTTCAGCTGCGGTGATTCACATGTGGCTACCGGAGGTCAATATGAAAGGTCCGGATCAAGGGCGAGCGCACCTCCCGATCCAGACCCCGATCCAGAGCTCCGGATCAAGTCCTCAAATTCGGTTCCAGACCCCCTCCATTCCAGACCAACAAATGCAATATCTCAAAATTCACATCGCGCTGGGTGTCAGTTCCATGCCCGGCCCATGCCCGTTCCCTACCAAACAAAAGTATTTAGCGCATACTCACCTCGTATCACTTGTGGGAAACAGCAAAAGTCAGTCATCGTTCCAGACTCTCCCGATCAAGTGTGCGATCCAGACCCTCCGGATCAGACAGCATAGGAACGTGCACGCGGGGCACATGGTTTTGACCAGCAGCCATGTCAACTCTGCATGTTCACGAAACACTTCAGAAAGTTGATCCATTACATTGCTTCCCTCGCAGGACTGTGCCCGTGATTTGAAAGCTGCCATCAAGCTTCGCTTCTCGCAGCGGGCGCAGCTGGTAGTTGACGACCTCTAGCCCCACCCCTTGTGCTGGTACAGCGGTGTTTTTCCGGCAGAGGGAGCCTGACGTCCTGAGCTGCGAGGACACTTGTGCTCATATCGAGGTCCTCGCAAGCTCTGAGATGTGAAAGTCCTTTGTACGTGGCGTGGTCAAACCACTGCCCTCCTGGCAAGTCTCGGACGGGTTGGAAAATTTCCAGTCCATGTCAGCGAAGCTGAGGTGGTGCTGCCAACGGTAGCAAAACGGGCATGGCTTGAGCAATTCGATCTAAATCCGCTGTTGTGAATGGTGCATTGCCGTACTCGTAGGTGGTGCCATCAACCGGGCGATCGGTTCAGTGCAATCTCTGTAGGCACCTGAGCTTTGAGGTTGCGGATGCCAGCATTTGTCCTGCCGTCGAGGATGGGTGAGCTGGGCTGAGTGTGGTGTGAGCCGTATGCAGGTTCACTGATGGACTGCTTCAAGTTGTCCAGGTGCGTGCTTTGTGGATTGTCTTTGAGTACCTATTCCAACAGCATGCTGGAGGCAGTTCGAGGAAACGGTCAGGGATGACTCCAACGAGGTGACCTTCCAGACAGCCTCCGGATCTCAGGTGAAACGCACTCCTTGCTCTGAATGGCACTTCCTCTTGTCAGCATCCAGGCAGATGTCGTGCTAGCAGAAGCGTCCCGCCGTCGACGACCGCGCTGCACTTAGTGCAACTGCGCGCAAGTGTCAGTACCGTCAAGATATGCTACAGCTCGCATCGGATCCATCAAGCAATTCCCGAGGCAATCTCGAATAGGTCCTTAGCAGGTTCAGTCAATTTCAATGCAGAGCAGTTTGTTGCAGATTTTTCTTGACCATCCCAGTAGGCGAAACGACAGTCAGCGTGAATGTGCAAATAAGGTAAGACCTTGCTTGATTTTGCGTTGGGAGCACTAGTATATAGAGCCACAGTCAATACTCGTTTGTAAGGAGTCAGTCATGTCATTAGCGGACATGGGAGGCAAACACCCTGTAAAGCGAGGGGAACATTGAAAAGAGACACCCTGCAGTTTTCAGGCGAAAGCCCTGTAAAGCGATGGGAACATGAAAAAGCGCAACCCGCACTTCACACCATAGCAGGTTGAAAACAGCATCTTGCAAAGAAATAGGGAAATTGAAAAGCGACACCCCCAATTTGGCATCCATTGCTAGATGAAAAGAGTTTTGACCTTCGCACATATGTTGGTATGACATGTGTGCATGCCGGCTGAGGGCTCGCCCGCGCTTCCCCGGCGTTGAGGTGGACCCTGCTTCGGCCGGGCACCTGCTCACGGATGGTACGCTGTGATTCGCAAAATTATGGGGCCTTTTCGATGCTCTGCAATGTACACTGAGCAGATGGGTTTGCAGAATTGGCTTCACGTTGTGCAGTGTACCCGCTGGAAATGAAAGCTGGCCGCATTCAGATTACTGTCACTGCGTTCACATCCTCTGGGAAGATCCTTTAGTAGGTGAAGAGTGACGCAGAGGGAGATGTCGGAGACCACAGCAGACACCAGCAGCATGACGCAGATGACTCCAGAGTCGGCATTGATTTTGAGCTAGGTGCAGAACAACGTGACAACACTTACTGCTTTCATCCACAGCGACGCGTGTGTCCGCATATCCATTTTTCCAAAGAGTCCGGTGTTTATAGGGCCCTGCCAGTGATGGTGGTGGACAGCATGTTAAAATTGATCGACGTCTGCGAGGTTGGCCTGGAGCTGCTGCAAGACGCCCAGTGTGCGAGGTTGATGCATTTACCGCGTCCAAGTAGACCCTCGGCACAATGCATCCTCGGTCCAAGGCCTGTGCTTAACGAAAGTCAGTTGCAGCATGTCCTTGCAGCCTCCTCAGTACATACTTTCTTTCGTCAACTCGACGGTCATCGCCTTTGGAGGTAGTTTGGGATGATGCGAGTGCTCCAGTGCCCTAAGGACAGCCGCAAGCGAAGTGCACGAAGCGCTGCACCTCCAACTGTGGAGACCTCCTAAAGCGGAGTCATGACGCATCACTTCATGTGCTTCACGCGCATCTCAGTGAAGACCTGACGATCTCCTTTCCGTCTTTTCCTCTCTATACTGCAAGAGGTATTGTCGCGCTACTGTGGATGCACGTGCTCCTGAAAGAAGTTTAGAATTCCGGGCCGGATTCCTGCCATCAGGATGCTGGCCTGTAATGCCGTGTGCAAGGGGGCTTTCTCGAATGCCACAGGCAGGACTTTTAGAGATGGGAAGTGCGCGAGAAGAAATGTCGTCCACGTTGGTAGCACATTGTGTTTATTAAGGGCTGCCGCCGCTG